TAAAGTTTTAATAGAGTAGATACAAACTGTTAAATGTTGAACATGTGGTCTTTAACACAGCTTCAGAACTGTGAGCAAGCTTTGAAGACCTTTGTGCTAATTGACTTCTAATACAAGATGTTAATTGGAGCTGTGCACTTCTTGGTAGGAAGCTGTGACATGCCTGAAAATTGCTATTATCCCATGTCCAGGAGTAATTATCAGTAATACTGTGTTAGCATGAAATAAAGTTTTGCAAACATTAACTATTACGTTATTAATTACATTTACTACAGTTGATAAATGCAAGTGAAAAAAAATCTAAATTTGATATATCCCACTAAGCTAATTCTATACAGGCAATTGGATAAGCTAGTTTATGTTGTATAGAACTTGAAATCAAAGCTGAAACTACAGAACAATAGCTAAATTAGAGTCAAGTTGCAAACCAGTTGAGCTTGCCTTTTGTATTGTCATACCTGCTTAGTAGTGAAATGTGAGCCATTCATCTACTGAATGACTAAGCTGGTGTTCAAAGCTAAAAATTTCCATGTTGAGTGTGCTTGCTAGGGATTAGGTATGTTAAAGGTTTTGTTGGGAATCACCAGGAAAAAAGATCAAGAACATTTTTCACATTTTTTTCTCCTGTTGGCAAACCTGCTCTTCAGAGAGCAATTTGGTATGTGTGAAGTGTTTCAGAAAAAAATCTAGATGTACTGTTTTAATACATTCAGTAAAGGTCCCAAGTGAAAATTTGAGGTATTCAGCATGAGCTGTGCTTTGCTGTCTGGATTTTTGGGGACAGTAAGGGGGTCATTGTTCCTTTGCTAATCAATCCTCTGGCAAGGTCTTGTGTGCAGGCATCTCAGGATGCCTACTCTGCTCATACTCAAAAGTGGAATGAAGCTAATGTTTTTTGTGGTCTCAGAATAACTTGCACTTCAGTGCTTGTTCTCACTGTTTTGTAAAACAAGCTTTTATAAATAATAGTCTTAAACTATGTATAAAAAAAGAGGGTTTGCTGAAATAATGAACATTCTGTGAGCCCTGGAGTTCTCCAGTGACTGAGCAGTGCATTCACTATCACCACAGAATAAACTGTTTATTCCTTTGGATGAAGCGCAACTGCACATTTCTCATCTCAAGGCTTAGCATGGTCTTGAATGTGCAGAAGTATGAAGCTTTAGGTTAATGATGCAGGTACCTGAGAGTCCTATCTCAGGTATGCAAGCTTGAAGAATATGCTGAAATTAAGCTTGTTGATGGACCTTTAGTGGGCTTCCTATTTGTCTATATTATGTGGACACAAGAAACTGGAGAAAAACAGTGCAGTGGTGAGTGGTATGGAGTAACACTAATAGGAAATTCTCATCCTGTGCTCCAGGGAAGCTGCCAAGCACCAACACAGGCAAACACCTGAGATGGGTCCTGTCAATACTTGCTTTGTCCTGCACCCTGAGACAACTGCTGCCCCTCAGCCCCTTCCCCAGGCCCTTGGGCTAAGGCAGTGGCATCTCTGTGTTTTCTGGAGGAGGCTGGGCAGTAACCCCTGCTCTGCTCCTGCAGTGCCTTGGAACAATGTGGAGCTACTCCGAGGAGAAGGTGAGGTAGGCAGGGTTGTGCCAGGATAAGGGCTTTTGTTGCTGCACTTGCTGAGCTCTTTTACATGGAAGTGAAAGGTGATCTGGAGAACTTTGTCAGAACTCAGTCTTCCCCTCATCAAAATTGATGTGCATAAACTAGATTTTAGCAAACATTCAAAAGTACAGGTAAAATATGCTTGCTTGTAACTCTTTCAGTTGTAATTAAAGAATGGTTTCACGCAAAAGAAACAAGCCCATCTATACTCACTGCTAATGATTGTGATACTGATTGTGGGAAGCAAAGACTTGTGCTGGAGATTTTTTGATGTTTTTATCTTGCTACTGAAACACCTGATGAACTTGGTCTTTTGCTCTCTGTCAGAGAACTTAATGAGACTCCATAGGGCATCCTGGTAAAATATCCATGGCCATTTTTGTGCCATTTCTGAAATATCTTGGTGTTGTTTGGGAATTAGTCTCTTCAGTAGTAGGCTCAAGATTTTCCAGATAAGAAGTATTTTGTGAAGAGTACTGCTTGAAATCACTTTTTATGTGGATCCAATTGTCCATCTAGGTGCCTCTCTTTAATTCCAGAGTAAATGCATGTCCCTGGGAAGTTTAAGATGAGGGAGATGCAGACTTTATGTATAGGTATGTTCAGAGCATATAGAGGTTTGTGGTTTTTGTGAACTAATGCTGCAGTAAAATTGTTGCCAGTGTCTTGAATCTAAACTTGGGGTGCAAACACAGTTCAAGATAATATATCTTCAACAGCAATTCATAAACTCAGTTATAATTCTAATAGAAAATAATTTACATGCAGCTGTCTGCAGAAAAATATACCAGCTGCTAGCAGGTGCTTTAAAGAGCTTGTGATTTTTGTCTAGTTGGCCTGTACTGCATCTGCCTGCTTGAGGACACTTAAAATAAATGGTGGAACTTTTCTGAGAAATTTAGCCAGTTTCCATGCTCCTCTGCACAGGCAGTTTAGGCAAGGCATTAAGTTTGGCTGTTCTGGATTATGGTATTGGTAGGGATTTGCCTGCTTAACTGTAGCCTGCTAATGAAGAAACTGATAGTGAATGGTTCCTAATATACTGAATAGGTGACAGGTGGGGGAAGAAAGTGTTGCTCTGCAGTTGAATGCTTGATTTTTTGAACAAGGTCTTATTGTAAAGTACAAGATTAAAATGCTTATTACTTTGAGTACTACAAACTTTTCATTAAAATAGAAGAGCTGACAAGCCATGCAAGAGTATGTATAGAACTTAAGTTGTCTTTAGGAGTTTCATAGGATGCATTTGCTAGATAATTCTGCCCTACTGCAAAGCAGCTTCTCTACACAGTGCTGGGTTGCATTAGCAAGGTCGTGTTCCTGGGGTGGCGGGGTGGTCTGCTTGTGGAGCCTGGTGAGTGCTGATAGGTACAAATTCTTGTAGTTCTTTATCTCTTTAAATTGCTGCTATCTCTCCACTTCCCAGTTGGCCTGCAATAGCAGTATTGTGCTGCTGTCTGATATGCTCGACTCTTGTGTTAAGAACCTTTTATACCCTGAAGGTGAAGGCTCAGAATAGGCCAACAACTTGGATTCAAAAGTACAGTTTTGTCTGACAAGGAAAACTTGATTCAAAGCTTATTCAGTCTTTATTTAACAGGATTATACAATAAAGGAGCAAACATGATGGTTTGGAACTTGGTTGAGAAAGACTTTTGACTATTCATTTCATTATACTCTTCAAGCATTCTTCCTACAAATACTTCAGTTCTGACAGGTTTTCCATAGTGACATACCTGGGTGGCAGGTGGAATGGAAGTTATTTGCAGTCTGGTAACAAGTGTGCGCTGAAAAGGCACTAAACATTGCAACACAGATACAGGAGGTGATTGCTAAACTTAATAGTTTTTTTTTATTTTGGCTTGTTCTGTACTGGACCTGCAGAAGAAGCAGTTTTCTGCTGTTGGAGCATGGTCAGTTGCTCAGACCTTAGTAGATGTCTTCCCATTTCATTTGCTATTCTCTGAGCATGTGCAACTATTTCAGATGCATGTTGCTTGCCTACTGGAGAAACTACTTTGACTTGCAGTAGGTGTCAGTTATTTTAAGTTTCATAAACAGGATCTCACAGCTTTGGAATGAGGTGTGGGTGGTAACCCTACATCATAGCAAGGAGTTTGTCTCAGATGCATTTTCAGATTGAGTTGGTGGATTCAGGTCTGCTGCGGAACTTAGAGCTACCAGGGCTTCTCAGGCACCTTTGAGTATACTTGTCTTGCCTGTAGGGAGGCAGTCTGCAGACAAAGTGGGGCTGTCTTGATGTCTGGCTGTGGGAAATAATCTAGGTAATAGTAGTGCTATCCACAGACTTCCCATTTAAGTGGGAATTTTGAAGACCAGAAGCCTGTGATAGTGATTGAGAATGAGTCTCTTTTGTTCCCCTTTTTCAGTTGAAGGCTCTGCTTCCTAGTTAAAAGTTCACTCAGGAAATTGTTCTCAAGTATTTCACAGTTACTAACTTTGAGGATTTTTACTGGGCAGAATAAAGTGAGGTTAGATGCTATAAATGTGCAGAACAATTGAAATACTATTTTTAAGGTGGACTTTTGTTTCCACATTGTGTGTGGGGAAAACATTGTCTCTTAACTAGTAATACTTGGGGATACAGATGAAAGAAGAGGAAGAAATTGCAGGGGTTAGACTTTCAGTGAACTCAGCCTGCTTGGTACAAAATACTCCCAGATGTTCTTTCATAGCTCTTCTTTAAACAATGGAAAATGTCAAATACGAAGGTCACCTTGTTTAAATACATGAGGTCTGGCATGTTGGTGGCCTTTCTTTAGTTTTCTGTAATTAACTGTAAAATGCACACAGACCAGTGTCTCTGGAGAACTTCTCCCTAATGTGGCCATGTCTCATCCTGGGTCCTGCAGCCCTTGGTTAGTCTGTCCTTTGCTGTGCTCCTGGGTTAGGTCTGACATCGTGTCTGTTTCTCAACTTGCAGGCTTTCTTCTTAATGCTATTCTAATCAGATCAAATAATGAACATGTCCTTTATTCCTGTAAAAGCTGACTGTATCAAGGTTAAGCATGTGCTTAGCTATGGTTTCTCTAGTGCAACAGTGAGGAATTGAGGAAAGTTTTAATATGCAAAGCCTTGTGCAGCTGCAGGTTTCAGCCACAGCACCTAAAACCCAACTCTGGTACTGATGCGCATAACTGGAGGTTTTGCATGCTGGGCTTTGGGCTTGACATGCAACACAATGTGGTTGGTAGTGTGCTGTGCTGGGCCCTCACTGCTGGAGCACATGGACACGCAAGTCGGTACATCTTCTATTAAGATGTGATTGAAACTTAAATGAGTCATTTTCCTGAAGCGTTTCCACGGAACTGCACTGCAATGATACTTCAATAAAATCTTGGCCATGTAAAGCAAAGGGTTTCACTGGCCAGGTAAGAAGCTTGGGGAGGCCAAGAAGTGTGTTTTTGCAAAGCCTGAGATGGTCACATTCCCACTACTACAGAGACAAGTACAAGCTGAGAACTGCAGCACGGCACAAATGGGGTTCCTGCAGCTCACCACCAGGCCGGGTAGGGGAGCTCTGCCCCAGCTTGCATATGTGCAAGTCAGATGCTGGGTGTGTCTTTAATGGCACTTAATTATTGTCATTAATGGTGCTGAAATGATTTGAACAGTTACTCCTCCTCACCAAACTAAATAAACACATTATCTAGTCAATTTATAGGAATAGTTTAATAGTGTGTTAGAGGGGAGATACTAAGGCTGGCAGGTGTGCTGTAGCTCCCAGAGAAAGCTACATCCTGCAGCCCTCTCTTCAGCAAAATAGCATGGTTGTCTAGGAGCATTTAAAGGTGTAATATAAACTTATTTCACTCTGCATTTACCAGTTTTTTCAAAGATGAGCAGACACTTGTATTTTCATAGTACTTACCAGGAACAGAGCTAAACCCTGTCAGTGGCACAGGTGTAGAGCTGGGTAAGTGTGTGGGACTTCATCTGAGCATTACAACCAAACTTTCTTACTTGGCATGCAGCTTTGAGTGCTTTGTGCCCTCATGTGCATTGTTGCAGAAGTTTTCCATCAAGGTTCATTGGTGGATGGTAGGAAAACCTCAGTAGGATTGTAAGTACACAGTTACTGAGTGAATAAACTTGCTTAGAGGTGCACGCACTTAGGAGGGATTTTTGAGAGGTACAGGAATCCCTTGAATTCTTTAATAGCTTCCATCTCATCCAAAAGGAGACTGTAGAGTGAGTGTCAGTTAAATGTGTGCTGGTTGACTTCAGTGTAAATACACTGTTATAGTGCAATATTTTCCCAAAAGGGAAAATCCTCAAGTATCAGTAGAAAAGGTACAGAATCCAGTTTCAGGAAGCATTCTCAAGTGAGGAAGAAATCAAGGCATTTATTTGCTGGGATGTTTAGAGGCAAAGAACACCTGGTGTTTTTTTTTTAGTTACATGTACAGCAGAATCTAAAACTTCACCTTTGCCAACAGACTGGTTTTCTAAGGGGAAAGGTTGGTGACTGCTGGAGGAACCTGCTTGTAGAACCAACAGTGAGGGCTGTGTCCTGAAATACAGCTGCAGAGCTCTGCAGTGTCAGCAGAGGGGGAAGGGTCTGACTCCTGAGGAAGGATCAGGCTGGCAGTTACACGGGCAGCTGAGCCCATCTAATAGCTTATGGGTGGGGAAAATGTGGCACTTCTTCACACCCAGCTACAAAGGGCCCTGTGGTTGCTCCAGCTCTTCTGATGGGCAGCTTAGTTTTATGCTGGGTTAGTAAATGCCTTGGTTCATGACAGGTCTGAGCACAAGAGCCAGCACAAACCTGCAGATGGAAAACAAGCCATGCTGTGGAGAGGGAGGGATGGGAGAAGTAGGGCAGCTGGCAGTTGTAATTTTGCAGCTTCAGGAAGCTGTCTGCTTTATAATAAACTATATTGGAATTTACTAATCTGATGTAGACACAAGACTGAAGTGACAACCAAAGTAGTTTTTTGCAAGTCTGCCACTCCTCATGAGCACTTGGAAGTCTTTGGGATTAATTTGACCCCTTAGATTTTTTCAGTTTCTTAATAAAATTCCTGGTAGAATAAGTAATGACAGTAAAGAATTTAAACACTAAACTTCTACCACTATCCTGCAATCTGGTGGTATAGCTTCAACTTGTACTCTGAAAATAGTTCAGTTTATTTTTGGTTTATAACTGCAGTAATTGCCAATGACTACTGTGATATGAGTATACAGAGAGTCAACCTCTGAAGCATTCCTTAAGTACAACAGTGAATTTCATCTTAGTACCTGTGGGGTGCAGGACTTGAGGTTATCCACATTTTGCTGGTTAGGAGCTTGGGGTTGCTGTTTGACAGTTGTCCTTGTGCACCAGGTGACACTAGTGGGTACTGAGGAATACTCAGTCTTTCCTTGAAAGCTGAGAATATTACTGGATATTGCTGTATGATAGACAGTTCTTATGTAAAAAGTCCTCACCTTTTGTGGTTACAGGTCCAGGAATTCAGGAGCTGAAGTCTTGTTTGGGCTCTGCTTTTTACCCAGGCTTCCAGAAAGCTTCAGTTTGTTTAACCTGTTTGTGCTTTTCTGTAATGTCTTCACAGGATTGAGTGGGACAAACTTCTGGAGAATGTGCATTGTTTGATCATAAGTGTGACAAAAACTGACAAGCAGGAAGCTTATGTACTCAGGTAAGCCACTAGCTTACTCTTCTAGTCTCAGAAGTAAAAGTTAAAAGCTGTCATTTGGGATCCACTTGGCTGAGAATCTAGTCTTGGGTTGAGATCCTGCTGCTCTTGCCTGCAGTTTGCAGGAGTCTGCCCATCCAGCTGTTGTGCTGCTGGCCAGTTGTCTGCAGAGTTTTCACTGTTTGTCTTGTTTTCTTTTTTTAAAAGGATGAAGGGCAGGGCTGTGGTGCTTCTGTACCTGATCATTGAATTTTGTCCAGGGATAAATAAGTCTCCCCAGTTAAGAGGTTTAGGATTACTTCAGCAGAGCTGCATGTCCAAGTGTCACTTCTAGAGCTGCATCAGTAGATGGGCTCTATGTGGAATGACTCTTGCAGCTGAGCTGTGAAAAATGTGGCTTTCCTGAAGTCTTGGAAGTTGTTGTGCAGCAGTTAGTTGTAAGGACACTACTTTTGCCATGTGTTTTTCATCTTCCAAAATAGTTTTGTGCTTTTTCAACGTGAACTTTACAGACCCATTGGCATTCTGTTTTACTTCAGATTGCAAAACTGAAACTGTTGTGCTCAGACTGCCCTGAGGGCAAGGTTGGGCTGGGAGCAAGCTGGGCAAAGAAAGTGTGCTGAAGCCTTCTTTCCACAAGCTTCACATGCTTGAAACAATATTCTGAAAAGAATGTAGCTAGTTACAGCTGTATCCGGGGTGAAGTATAACTATTACTTGGAATTTTCAGACAGCATTCCAGACTGAGTTAGTTATTTAGGCTAGACCTACTCCCATTGCTCAGTTACTGGGTGAGGGTATCAGTGCCTACCTCCAGTTCAGTGGGACTGGAGTGAAGTATCAGACTTCAGAGTAGTTGATTTCTGTACCTTCTGCATGAGACTTGGCATGTAGCTGTGACTGTGCTCACAGGAGGCTTCCTGTGAGCAGGGGCTGACTTGCCACTTTCCAGTTGTCAGCCTTCCTGGAAGATGCAGGCAGACAATCCATGACATTCTGCTAAAGCTTTTGTCCTTTTTCAGTTGACTCTCACAGGTTTCATTTCAGCTGAGAAAGTCAGATTTCAAGTTTGGCCTTGTTCTGTGTCTGGGTTAAGAAATTCAATGGCATCTGTTGTGTCCCTGCCTCCCAGCATGTGTGTGTTGCTGGCACAGATGCAGGCTGCCATGCAGGCAGTGCCTCTGGCTGGGCTGTGGTAGCTCTGATGCCACATGTGCAGGTATTTGTTCTGGGGAATCACAACAGCTCTTAAATGTCTGCTAAGGTCTCTTGGTTTGACCCATTTGCAAAGCATGTTTATGCATCACGTGCTGAGTGTTCACTTACAGAAATGCATTTGGTTGGGATAAGAACCAAGATTTAAGCATTCTCTCCTGTCTTGTTTTATATAGAGCATTTAATAGATTCTTCACACTCTCTTCACAGTGAGAGTAGCATGTTTGTCTCCAAGAGACGTTTCATTTTGAAGACGTGTGGTACCACCCTCTTACTGCAAGCACTGGTTCCCCTGTTGGAGCTTGCCAGGGAGTACAGTGGGTTTGACTCAATTCAGGTAGGTCCCAAAAGGGCTGCATCTTTCTTACAACATGCAATGAACTTTGTACAAATATTTCAAATTTGCTGATTTTATTAAATGTTCTGAAGCTACCTTTGCCATTTATGTATGTTTCCAATAATAGGGAGATTGTAAAAGAAGGTTGCTTAGTCTGCTGGAGGATTTAGCCTTCTTTTTCTCCCTGAAAGGATTCTAACTCACAGATGCTGTTGTGCTGAGTTAAGGTTACTTAAGGCTGAAAGACATTCATGCCTGTGTCAGTGCTGAAGTCATTGATGTTTTCCTGTGGGACACACATTTGGAAGTAGCTGTCTCCTGTAGCTCACAGAGTAAACCAAAATACAGGTAGAAGTGTTTTGGCAATGACAGATGAAGTCCTGTGAAAGCTGACACTACATGCTTGCATTTTGCTAGGTGTTTAGATTTCAAGGTGGACAGATAGATGCAATATCTAAGATGCCCCTTTAACTTTTCAGAGCTTCTTTTATTCACGTAAGAATTTCATGAAGCCTTCCCACCAGGAGTACCCACATAGGAATTTCCAGGAAGAAGTGGAGTTTCTTAACGAAATTTTCCCAAGTAAGTTCATGAGACTTGAGTGAAGCTGCAGAGCTTGTGAGAAGTGTTGGTGTGAGGGGAGACGTGACAAACAGAACACACCACCCAGGCTGTTCAGTCAGCAGTGCCTGCAGTTCTGCAGCCAAATCAAAAGCTAGAAATAGTCAGAAATGCAGAAAATAACTGACTTGCCCAGATGGTACCAAATCGCACTAAGCCTGACACTTGGCACCTTAGCTGTGGTATCTCCAGGCTTCCAGGTGGAGTGTAGTAGGTCAGTCTGCAGAATCCAGCTCTCACCATAAAGCTTCATGGGAAGGCAGAACGGGGCTTTCAGGGCATGAATGCACTGAGGGGAATGAAGCTGTTCTCAGACTAGTCACTGCACTAAAGATGGAATTCTGACATCTCATGAAATCTAAAACCTACAGGAACAACCCTGAATTTTAACAGCTGGCAGAAAAGTGTTTTTGAAGGAACCTTAGCACTTCTGAGTTATTTGAAGTTAAATGCTAATCATAACTATATTAAGTAGGTGCTTAAGAGTGCTGGGGTTTCTGTCAGTGTAGTTACAGCTGCAGTCCGAATTTCCCGCCCTATAGGAGGCTCTGAGCTGTGGTGTCCAGACCACCTGAGAGAGCCTATTTCTCTGATTGTCTTTACATTCCT